TTTTTTTTTTTTTTTATTTTGCATTTCTTTCAACAAGATCTTCGTGGTTGGGAGAAACTTTTTTTGGTAGTATAGAAACAGAAATTTGATGGGGAAAGTTGCCTTTGTTCGGTAAAATTTTCATATCATATGTTTGTTTCTGTATGTATGATTTTTCTTTTCTTAATCTTTTCTGTTTTATGGTTAATAAAGTTTTTTTTGCCTAGATCCATAGATATGGAATAGGTGGCAGTGCATCTACTTTATTTTTTAATATTTACATATATGTACAATCTAAATAAAATTCATTAACGAGTTATACACTTGCGGTAATTGTTTCGCTGTTTTTAACTGACTAATTTTATGTTAGGTTGTGTGACGCCTAGGAATTATGTCAAGTAAGGAAATTTGTCTGCGGAAAATGGCATGATTGGAAAAAGCCAGTCCCCACTGGTTTTACTTTTTCAGCAAATTTATTCCTTCAGATTGCAACTAATTTTGGACATAGTTGCTCAAAAGAAATGAAACGGAAGACTACTGGTGAATTCGCTGAACCGTCGATGAAACGTACGAAAAGATCGGTTAATTCAAGGGACGAAACTGATTACGTAAGTATTAAAAGTGTTTTGTCAATCTATTGTATCACTCTGAAAACTAGCTTTTTTCAGTTTACCACTTTTTTATACATTTAATTATCCGCACATCATTCGGAAAAGTTTTTGGAATGAGTTTTCTTTTTTTACTGTTTACATCTAAAAGTCAGTGTACAACATTGGCATTTTGTTTATGTTTTTATCGGTTGCGACTTTGAAGAAATCTCCAGTTTAGAGCACAGTGTTTCTAAAATTTTCATCTAATCCTCTCTTTGCTTTCTTGATACTTAGTTTTTGATTATAACTGTAAAGCTTGGATTCCGAAATTATCTGTTTGGATCTGTTTTCTGTTAAAGTTCATTTCTTTCACTTGTTGCGAGGAAAAAAGGATTTCAAAAACCTTAACGGAGTAGAAAAAAGTGACTATCGTGATTTCTTTGCTCTGCTATTACTTTTAAATCATTGGGTATTGTATCGCGGTACTGATTGCAGGTTTCTCTCCTTCTTCTCAAGCTTCTTCTAGATTCTAGGTCATACCTCGTTCTTGTCATTTCCTTTTGTAATTGAAATGATTTAGTTGCGACAGTGTGCTGAAGTCTTAGATTGCTTACGGAGCTATAAAACTGCAGACGGTCGTTCATTGTGCTCTAGCTTTCTTCGGGCGCCATCAAGGAGGTTAATCACGTCTTAATTATTGTTTCGTGGCTTTCTGAACTTTTCATGATTTTTCTCACAGTGCAAGAGCAGTTTTGTGCAACTACATTTCATGTTTGAAGGTTATGTACGACGTTAGTACGTAGATTTTCTTTCTTTCCTTTTGCGAAATGAAAAAAACTTTTAGTTACGAGGTGCTTCGTAGAGTTTAGGCGTTATTTACAGGAACCCTAATTTTATTTTGTGAAGCTAGTAAACTAAAAATAAATTTCAAGGTACTATGTCTAAAGTTTTTTCTTTTAACTTTTAGTGGATCGGTAGGCAATTTGCTTTTGGTACATATTTGTACATATTTGTAAAATGTGGCTTTTAACTCATTTTTCTCAATTATTTTGTTATTTATCCCCTGTTCTTTTTTGCTGGAGTTTACTGAGTTTAGGAGTTTAAGTAGCCTTACACTAGTTTCATACTTTTTTGATAACTTCTGGTTCCCATGGCATTTTTTTCTGCAGGACAGATCCAGATTACTTCAAAATTGTCCGTCACCCAATTGACCTGACGAGAATACAACAAAAAATCAAGACAGAAGAGTATACAACTTTTGCTGATTTTTGTGCAGATATACACTTGTTGGTAAATAATAGCAAGGACTATTACAAGGTTATTGTCTTGTCTTTTTTGGTTTAGTATTGCTGTTGAATTCCAGTTTATAGACGGCGCACCTCCTTTTTCTTCCTTGCTATTCAGAACTTTCCAGGCAGACAGTGAAGAGTACAAAGATGCATGCGAGTTATCTGAGTTATTTGAGTCAAAACGTAAAGGTATTATAGAAGAATCGTTAGAGTTGAACGCCTTAGGAAGTTCTTCAAACAATAGTTGGTACGAATTTTTTTTTATTTTTGTATACCATTTTGCTGCATCTTTCCGATTTTATAAGACTATGTTTTTTACATTTTTTTCTTCTCCTTGAGCTGCTAAAAAAAATCATACTATTTCTTTCAGGAGTTTGTCTCGTCATGACCCTGAAAGTTTGGAGGATGAGAAAGAAGGAGACAAAGAAGAAAGTATTATTGATAGTGCGGAGCTTGAAGACATTATTGCTTCAACCCTAGAATTAACAGATGATACTGGCCGACTTTTAAGCCCTCCGTTTCGAGTGCTTGTTTCTGAAGAGGTTACTTACGGCCTAAAGTTTTACATTTTAGCGCTGTTCATTGACTGTTAATTTTTTCAGTCTTTAGGGATATAACAGGTCTAAACTCGCTGTCACATTCTCTAAAAATGTATGATTTTTCATAAGTAGAATACTGAGGAAACTTGTGCGATGAAGTTTTGTTTCATTTTTTTAAAATAAGTTTGATTAACTGTGCCTTAATATCTTTCTGTTGCTTGAAAGGGTCTTCATTGTTTATTAAGTAGCCTTGTAAAAGTGTCTTTCCAGGAATTGCCATCTTACTACGCTCGTATAAAGAATCCGATCGACCTGAAGACTATAGCTCAGAAAATTCGCTCAAACGAGTATCACACCTGGTCGGATTTTGATGCTGATTTCCGTCTAATGTGCAAAAACGCAAAAGTTTTCAATGAGACAGGGTCAATGATCAGCAGGGTGAATTTTTAATTTGATTCAATAAAGACTTATAAGGCACCCAATTTTATCGTTTACAATAACTGTTTTTTGATGCCGAGGATCTTTTTTCCTTTGGTTTTTGGCTTTTCTGCATTAAAACATCTCCAGCTTTTATTTTGCAGGATGCGACAGTTCTTTTGCGAAATTACAAAAGACGCAGATCTGAGCTTACTAACCCTAATGCGAAGTCTCTTTCAGCAAAAAAGTTTGTTGTTACTTGAACAAAAGCTTTAGTAGCTGCTGAAAATGATTTTATAAGAAGCTAATTACAATTAGTTTTTCCTGAGTTCAGTAGTTGAATACGATATTGCACGCTCTTCTGTCAAAGTTTATTTGTAAAGTTTTCAGAATTAAGCAAAATGCTGTAGCTGTAGATGAGCTTTTAACTATGGAAGCTATTGATGATGCAATAGAAGGCTTATCAGAGGATTCTGAGGAGGATGATGATACTGAGAGCAATGACGACCCGAAATGGAGACTTTATTGGGCTGTGAGAAACGAACCTAATCCATCTGATCCTAATGCAGTTCTTTCGGAGCCATTTTTAGCACTGCCAAGCAAAAGGTTTTTGCAGCTTTGGGCATACAGTATCTGTTATTGGTTCTTACGAGTGAATTCTGAA